TCCTAGTCTCCTATGCCATAACCTACTATCATGCTCATCCTTAGCAACTAAGCATAAATTAGTCATATCAATAAAATCCAAATGCACCATGTGAATGTTTCCTATTCTATGACCAACAAGCATAATCAGAGTAGATGCAATGTCAATTAATTTTGCAAACACTTAATTTAAAAATAAGACATTGTATCTTTTGTCAAATTCACCTAATCGGATTATGCTTTAATCCATTCACATACAAAACATTATGCAATGATGATTATCGAGATTAAGAGCACATGCATAAAGTTTTTGAAAATGTTACGCATTAAAAGTTGATATCATTGAAAATTTGAAATCTATGCATAAACATTAAAAAGTTTAAGGTCAAAAATTTGTAAAACCAAAGTTCTTGAAAAATCGATATTAATTGTTAAATAGATATCAATTACATTTTAAAAACAATTTTGACCAAAAATTAATATGATGAACTAAAGTTTATAAAACATTACCAAAAATTATTATGTTCATCATACAATATCTTTCAACATACATGAGATAAAACATAATCATTTAGAATTATTCAACATTTAAAACCTCATGCATGCATAAACTAAATGAGCAACCAAATAAAATAAAAACATTAAGTTTAGAGGTTACCCGTTCCATTTTCATGTCTGGCTAGAGCATTTTGAATATCATCATCTTCATTATCATTGCTCCCACACACCTACAAGAGACATTTAAGTAGATTTTGGTATCCAAATTGCTTTGGATCCTTGAACATTAGTTTCAATGCCTCTTGTTCCTTCTGGAACCCATACTTGTCTAATTTTAAATTGTTTTCCTTTCTTTAAAGGATACGTATGTTCCTTATGACCATGATAATGACAATGTGAACATATTGTCATTATTGAACTAGATGAATTATTTAAAATGATCTCTTTTTCTTTTTTTAAACATTCAAGCTTAACTTTCAAATCGAAATTTTCTTTTTCAATACTTTCAAATTATTTTTGAAAGCTCTAAATCCTTCTTCAAGATTTCATTTTGTTTTTCAAAATCCATTTTTGTATCTAGAAGAAGTTTGTTTAATTTGAAAATTTCTTTTTCAAAGCTTTTCAGATTTTATTTTTGAAAGCTCCAACTCATTTCTCAACATTTCATTTTGATTTTTCAAGTCTGTTTTAGCTTTGAAAAGAAGATCATTTTTAGCTATAAATTTAGAAATCAAATTCCTATATTTGGAGTTCATGGTCTCAAACTCCGAAAATAATTCATCATAAGCATCTTGTAACTCATTAAAAGATTTTCAATTTAATTTATTTGAGTTAGAAGATACCTTTGGCTCTATGAGAGCTAATAGAGACATCATCTTTATTGGTTCTTATTCTTCATTGTCTCCTTAGATCTCCTCAAGCTTATCCCACATTACCTTGGCAATTGAACAAGAAGAAACTCCTTTATATATATTAGGATCAATTGCACAGCATAACATGTGCATAGCCTTTGTGTTTTGTTGAGCTTTCTTCTGTTCTTGATCACTCCACTTCTTTGCCTTTTTCGTTGGAGAGGAATACCCTTTCTCGATTATCATCCAAGCTTCCATATCAAATGCTTGGATAAATATCATCATAAACCTCTTCCAACGACGATAATTTGTTCCGTTGAAGTGTGAAGGAACGTCAATTGGTCTGGATTCTTCTATGGAGACTGAACCGGAAGTGGACGCCATCTTTATCGATTTAACTCTTCCCAAATCGACTCAAGAGGTGGTTAAACCTTCAAATGAGTGAGGCTCTGATACCAATTATTGAGTTAATCGATCGATGGAATCGGCCAAGAGGGGGTGAATTGGCAGTTTAAAAAATGGTGAAAGCTTTTTGTAGAAAATTGAAAGAAATTGCACAGCGATTTAGAGTGGTTGACTTTTTCAACCAAAGTCTACGTCCACTTCCTTAGCTATCCACACTAAGAATTTTTCAACAAATTCACTAATTTGTTCTTTCTTTTTAGGACAAAGAGTAACTTTACAACTCCCTCAAGAATTATACCCCAATTCTTGAGCGCACTCTTTTTCAAAGAGAAATACACAAATTTGCAAACTTACAAGGAAAACCTCACAAGGAAATATGTTTGCACAATTCTAGAACAAGATAAGAACACTCAAAGATAATTACAATCGAGCACAAATTATGTTCTTGAATGCAAAATGAATATTGAAAGGAAATTTGGCTTGAATTGCAAAAACTTGATGTTTGATGCTTCCTCTCTTGTTTCTCTATGATTTCTTCTTTCTTGTTTTTGATTAATGGCTTCAGAACTTGTTTAAATACTCCTTCAAATGATTTTGAATGTTGGGGATGGTTAGTGGAGTCAATATAGCCTTTTATGTGTGAAAACAATTAATAAAATCAGTTGGGAGCGTCAGTGCATCGATGCATACCCATGCTGCATCGATGCATACCCATGCTGCATCGGTGCATCCAGTGTAAAATTCAAATATTTGGACCGTTGGACCCTTAGTGCATCGGTGCACTAAGAGTGCATCTATGCATAAAATCTATTCGATGTTTCAAAATAGCCTGAGTGCATCGATGTATGGATAGTGCATCGATGCATCAAATGCATTCGATGTTTTCATAAAATTCTGAGTGCATCGATGCATGGATTGGTGCATTGGTGCATCACTCTAAAAAATTGATTTTAGGCTTGATTCTGGTTCAAAATACTTTGTGAAAATTGTTTCAAAAATATATTAAATATAAAAAACAATTTTACACATTTATTAAGGTTTGAAATTGATCTTGAAGACTTGGAGTAATAATTTGATATTCGAATAATTAAATCGAATATACTTAGAAAATCATTTGTAAAATCTTAAAATTCATTTATACTTAATTTGTTATATCGAAACATCAAAATGTTTTCAACACAATTAGACCCGAAGATCCATGGATTACAATGTTACACGGGGCTACCAAAATAGTGACCCAAAGTTTTCTTTTAAAACTGCTTGTAAATCTCTAAAATTTAGAAATTCATAATGTAATATAAAACATAATAATAAATTGGGTTTACAAATAATGGGGAACTCCAAATATAAATCAAAAAAAATAATACAAAATATTGCGTTCCAAAAAGAGTTACGACTGGAAACATAATACGGTCCATAACAGTAGATGCCCTCTAAAGATGACTCAAGACGTATTATAAGAGGTCTCTGGAAATCTGAATCTATTATACTGGAATATCTAATGATAATAGCTCCCCACGATATGCTTCATAAGAACCTGCACACGGAAACACATTCTGAGCGCTAAGCTTATGAGTTTAGTGACTCACTAAAAACTGTACTATATTATATGCATTCACTAAAGAAAATGGAAAGTGGCACATGTATGAGTATATAACTACTGGGCTGTTAATCTGTGGTTGTCATCATGGTGCGACTGAAGGATTCTTCATCTCGGATCTCACGCACCCTTCTAGCACTATCGAAGGACCATCGGGCAATCCTGGATGAGATTTAAAATTCTGCATCAGAACGTATACCTACCAACTTACTCCATCAAATCTTGGGGCATCTGGCGCCTATTTGGCTGCTGTAGTTTCGTGACACTAAAATGGATTCACTAACTGTCGTATTTCTGGTAAAAGGAACTTGGGGTCTTGATTGTTTCCCTAGCGTCAAACAATGCTAGTTTTATGTAAACCTATATATTTTTTGTTTGTAATGCTATGATATTAATTATTGTTCTCGCTTGAAGTCTTATTTGAAGATCTACTGAATTTTTGGGGTACCTCGAGTATAATTCCCTTAAAATCTGACCTTTTGTCCAAACAGACTGAAATTATCGATACTAGCCCAAAAGTATCGTTACTCCTACAAAAATTTTGATACTTTATATAAGTATCAATACTTTAAAGTAGTCTGTAATGCCCAATTTTGATACTTTATGGGAGTTTTTAAACTATGACCCAAAATATCAATACTCTTACCCAGAAACACAATTTTGCCCAAGAAGAAGAACAAGTTTCGATACTATCCCTCTTGTATTGAAACTCAACCTACAGAGAGCATAAAATAGTTGCAAAAACTCCTATTATACCTTAGTGAGGTCCCCAAACATTAATAATGTTTTATAAAGATACAAAGGAGCATAAATAGGGCTTTAAACATGTTTATAACTCTAAAACATGAAATCTACCCTGGGAATCCTTCAAGCTTATGCACCCTACAACTTTCATCTAAATGACTTACATATGGTATAGTTCAGTCAAGAGTGAGTTACCTTTGATACTAAACTACTAAAAACACCCAATGCTCAACCAAGGGTGAGTTTTTCCTTCCCTTTAGCTTTAGTGCTTTCTCCAACCCCCCTCACTAAACAAGATTCAAAATAAAGATTACTAGCTGAAAGTGAAGGATAATAAGGGTTTAAAAACACTTTCTATAGCTATGAAACACTAAAAATAAGCCAAAGTTTCTGAATTCCTTAAACCCCTTTAAAACCCATTTTTATCATCCATCACCAAACTTTGCAAGAGTGGGTTTGAAATGAAGCTTGGGAAGAGTAGAATATGGTTCTTACCTTGGTATAAAGGGAAAATTAGAGATAAACTAAAGCTCCCACCTTTGCTCAAGTTTTCTAAGAAAGAAGGTGAAACCTTGGAAGAAAAAAATGATAAATGAGAGTTGAGAAAATGGGGAAGGGAAACAAACATGAAATCAACTCTAATTAAAGGATTTCAACTTTATTTTTGAATAATGGTATAATTGCTTCCTTTATCCCTCTAATTCTAACTATAAATTTAAAACACCCATTTTATTCACTATTGGGCTTACCTTAAGCCTAAATCATCTTTAATTTGGGTTAAGACTTCCTACAAGCTAATGAACTCAACCAATTCCCATCTCGAGTTAGCCCAATACTTCTAACTTAGGATTTGGGGTGTTACAACTCTCACCTCCTAAATAAAATTGCATCCTCAAATTTACCTGGGTAGAAGAGGTGGGGATACTAAAGCTTCACGTCCTCCTCTATTTCCCATGTTGTTTTTTCAATGCCATGGTTCCTCCATAACACTTTCACAAATGGGATCCTCTTATTTTTTGACTCATGCACTTCGCTCTCCAAGATTCTCATTGGTTCCTCTTGATAGGTTATATTTGAACTGACCTCAATCTGTCCTAATAGTATGACGTGCGAAAGATCAGAACAATATTTTCTAAGCATAGATACATGGAACACATTGTGAATACGCTCCAACTCTAGTGGTAAAGCTAGTCTGTAAGCCACTAATCCAATTCTCTTAAGCACCTCATAAGGTCCTATGAAACGAGGAGTCAACTTGCCCTTGCGCATGAAACGAAGAACCTTCTTCAAAGGGGAAACCTTGAGGAATACATTGTCCCCAACTACCCAACTGCGAACTCGATATCCTTACACTTCAAATATGCATTAGACCTCTATCTTTCTAAAGCTTTTTTAAGTTTGTTTTGAATCAATAGAACATTCTTCTCATTCTCTCTAATTAAGTCTGGGCCTACAATCTTACTCTCACTTAGCTCCATTTAACAAAGTAAAGTCCTACACTTACGCCCATATAAGGCCTCGAATGGAACCATTTGAATGCTCTCGAGAATATGGATAACTCGTTCTGACTGTATATCTGTCTAAGGATGAAACGTTGTGTTGAAGTGTAGTCGGGTACCTAGGGACTCATGAAGAGCTTTCCAAAAGTGAGAAGTAAAATTACGTTCTCTATCAGAAATGATGGAAGTCGATACACCGTGTAACCTCACTATCTCATGGATATACAACTGAGCTAACCTCTCTAAGGTATAGTCCATCCTAACTAAGAAAAATTGAGCTGATTTCGTTAGACAATCTAATATGACCCAAACTGCATCATACCTCTGTTTGGTCATTGGTATGCCTGTCACAAAGTCCATGGCTACCTTGTCCCATTTTCGCTGAGGAATCTAAATAGGCTGAAGCAAACCTGAGGGAACCTGGTGTTCTGCCTTAACATATTGATACACTATACATCTCGTTACGAACTCAGACACTTCTCTTTTCATACCTGACCAATAGAACAATCTGTGAAGCTCTTGGTACATCTTGTTACTACTTGGGTGAACAAAGAGTGGAGTATAGTGTGACTCATGGAGAATCTTAATGCGTAAATGAGTGTCTGCTAGTACGCACAACTTACCACTGAAGTATAATGCTTCTTTATCACGAAGCTCAAAACCTGAGGCCTTGCCCTGACGAACCTGCTCGATCCGAGATTTCAATCGATCATCTCAACTCTCTAGCCTCTTGACTTCCCCTACTAACTCTGGCTTAACTTGTAGCTTGGCTAATAATCCACTATCACTAGACTCAAACGTGCTAAGAGTAATCGTAACTCAGACATCGACTTTATATTTAGGGCGTAAGCTGGCACATTCACCTTTCTCGGATGGTAATCTATAACATAGTTGTAGTCCTTAAGTAAATCAACCTATATGTGTTATCTGAGGTTCAGCTCTTTCTAAGTGAGAAGATACTTGATGCTCTTATGATCGATGAAGATATGACACTTCTAGCCAAAGAGGTATTGTCACCAAATCTTTAGGGAAAACACCACTACTGCTAGATCAAGGTCATGGGTAGGGTAATTAAGCTCATGAGGCTTAATCTGATGGGACACGTAAGCTACAACTTTACCTTTTTTCATTAAGATGCATCCAAGTCTATTCAAAGAAGCATCACTAAAAATTATGAAGTCCTTACCTGACTTAGTTGGGTCAAGAATGGGGCTTGGGTGAAGATGACCTTTAATAGCTTGAAGCTCTCCTTCTACCTCGCTTCCCAAATAAAGGGAACTCCCTTATGAAGAAATTTGGTTAACGGTGCTACTATCATTGAGAAACCCTAAACAAACCGACAATATTACACTACTAACCCGAGAAAATTGTGCACCTTAGAGACATTCTTATGGGACTCCCATTAAACTATAGCCCAAATTTTATGAGGGTTGACTCTGATGTTGTTAGGTGAAATGACATGCCCCAAAAAGGCTATAACTGATAGACAAAATTTGCACTTCCCAAACTTGGCATACACCTATTTGTCTCTGATGGTTTGAAGTACGATACAAAGATGCTGGTTATGTTCGTCCTATGATTATGAGTTCACCAGTATGTCGTCTATAAACACTACCAAAAATTGGTCCAAGTATGGATGGAAAACAATATTCATTAGGTCCATGAATGCCATCAGGGCATTGGTGAGTCTAACGATATAACTAGAAACACGTAACAACCGTATCTAGTCCTAAAAGTTGTTTTTCCCACATCTTCATCTTTGGATTTCAACTGATAGTAGCCTGATCGCATATCAATCTTTCAAAAGATGCACACTCCTCTAAGCTAGTTGAAGAGGTCATCTATTATGGGGAGTGAGTAACAGTTCTTGATGGTTAGCTTATTCAATTGTTTATAGTTGATACATAACCTCATCGACCATCTTTCTTCTTAACGAATAGAACTGGTGCTCCCCAAAGGGAGATACTAGGTCGGATGAAACCTTTCTCTATTAATTTATTAATCTGAGCTTTTAACTCCTTTAGTTTAGTCGGTGCCATGTAATAACATGATAAACTCCAAGTGTTTGTTATAAATTCAAACTTAGTTCCTAAGATATTTTCACCCGTCCTTCTACTGGATAATGATGACTGGATCTTCTAGAAACTGCCACGTTAGTTCGTGTCATGCCCCTGGTCATGCCCATGTGTCCAACCATGATTCCAAAAAATAAAAACTATAAAATCGACCCTATAAATGTTATTTTCAAAAAAAAAAATAAACTCATGTACAAAAACGAATCAAAGCAGCCAAAAACAGTAGCATGAAACCGTCAACAAGGAATAATTATCAACAAAACATGTACAAAATAAAAAAAATCATCAAATTCCCCCTCACTTATTTAACGCTTGTCCTCAAGCATGCCCTCGTCAAACATGTTAAAGATATCTATTCATTCTTTGCATAAATAGGAACAATTTAGGCAAAACTATGACATCCCATTAAACTATCAATCTCAATGTAAGAAGACTCGATACCTTCACAAGGATTCACTCATTCTGCTCAAAGTGCTTTGAGTAAAAACACTCAAAACCATAACTTAAATCGGCATTACCATAAGTTTGTAAGAAAATCTAATCTCCTCTACAAAAAATGAATAAGATGCAATAATCAAAGGGTCTTTAAACAAGGTTGTAACGAGGCTTGGGTAAAGGTATTAAAAAAAACAAAAATATGAGTTACATATAAAGACAAGAGATGCACAAATAATAAGTTCAATTCCACAAAGTAGACAAATTTTAAAAAAAAGTAATGCAATTTAATAAATTAAATGTAACAAACAACTTTATTTTTTTACTTTTTTTTTGTTTTTGAACCTTTTTTGTTTTTGTTTTTTTGTTTTTTTTGTTCGAATGTTCGAACTAGTTTTTTTTTTGTGGAACATAAATCATGTAACTCGTTCTCTTGTCTTGACAATGGTAGAAAAAAAGATAAAATAAAATTCTCGATTTCAGAAATATGGTAAAAACAAAGAAAGAGAAAAGGCTAAAAAATGACTAACTAAGGGGAATAAATGGGTAGGAAATTTAGGTAGAGAATTGGGTAAATCATAGTGCCCTTATAATGGTAAAGCATCAAGTTCAATATGTAGTATCAACATGCATTGAATTACATGTTCTAGAATATCAAAGTTAAATTCAGCACCCTCAATCAAACAATTGAGAAAGAATGTAAAAGATTGCTCGTCTAAGCTCAAGTTTCATAAGAAACTGTCATTTGTATTGAGTCTAATACATGTCATGTAACACCTAAAACCCGTATAAATATACCTATACAGATTATAGATGTCACCTGAATTTCTCAAAATATTTTTGAATTCAAAAAAGATTTCAAATTTATTTTCTTAAAAAGTTAATCTATAATATAAAAATTTCATATCTCATCAAACTATCACAAACTATTTAAAACATATATTAGTATGTATTTATGCTATCCATACTGAAAATAGAGTAAAACATTTTAGTTTAGTTATTACAAGCCAGATCCAAAATTGTTCAACATAGCAACTAGGACATTGGTAAGTACATGCCACTAACTAAGTCAAAGTTACATCATAGGATGTCTCATTGATATGGAAATATACTCCTCGATGCTTGATGTCGCTCTGAACTCTTTATTCTACTACTAGCTTTTTACCTACACATGAAAATCATCACACACTAAGTATATACTTAGTGAGGCAATTTAAAACAAAAAACAGTGCAATACAAATCAGGCATGAAATTTAATATCATCTTATAATGGAAAAATCAAAACAACATAATATAAATAAACAAAATCATTTTTACCAACAACTATTGCCCACAATTCTGAATCCATGAGGAACCTGATATAGGAATCAAATATTGCACAAAAGTACTGAGGTCGAGCATTGCTCGCCTAATAATGCACGTAGTGCTGAGGTCGGGTTTTACCCACTTCACTTGTACTATGTATCTTATTTAACACTATAGTACTACTTAATTATGTAACTGCTAGACTCTATGGCATGCCATTAATACTATTGAACCTCAATAACATACTTAGGTATATAGTCATGAATTAAATCATCCATGGAAATGTATAACCATGTGTAAGCATTAAGGCAATTCATACCCAAAATAACATCCATGTCAAAATCTCATGTTGATAAAACAAGGTGGACTTATTGCAAGTCTTCCAGATGATGTATAAAACATCTACGTACATGATGTATAAAACATCTATATACCATGTCATGCATTTATTGCACTCACCTCAACACTTTTTATATCCAAAATATGTGACCCACTACGGTCCATAATAACACTTTTATACTTGATTTGCTTCAATCACAATTCAATCACGATCTGTATAAAATCAAAAATTCATAACAATACTTATGTTATTATTGTACTAACATAACACATCCCCAAAACAAAATCCATAACATACTAGAACTCATTTTCTACAAAATACTTAACACTTAATAATTCCTTTTTAACATTAGCACCAACTTTTCCAATTTACACAAAATGGTCCTTCACCCTTTTATCACTTAGATTATTAATACCAAATTTCCAGAATTAAAATTATTACCATTCAAATGCTTTTACAAAGGTATAATTACATTTAAGTACCCCAACTATGCGAATGTTGTACTTAAATCACCAATCTTTTCAAACTTCCAAAATGGTCATATTTCACATCTAAACACTCATTTTCCATCATAATACATCAACAATTAAACAATTATACAAGAATTCATAGCTTTTCTAAAATTACCAAATTAGTCCTCCAAGTTTTCAAAAATTACAAAGTGGTCCCTAATTTTTCTAAGGATTTTAGAATACTTCCTACATCATTTCGAGCCCTTCTATAATTTTTCCATAATTTGTCTCGCTCAATTACTTCATGGTCGAATACTTTAAACTTAAAAACTAAGTTTTCATGAATTTGCTATATTTTGATTCAATCCAAGCATGAAATCAACTTCCAATCAACCTTACAACATCTCTACAATAAAGCCCTAATCAAATCTCATCAAAACACAAAGTTCCATAATTTCTTCATTTGACCGAAATTTATAGAATTATATCTAGGAATTTTGAACATGTTTTAATCATAATTCATGCTTGAAAAATGAACCTACAACCTCAAAAACATCAATATTCATAATTAATTTCACGAACCCTATCATGAACATAAACCTAAGATTTGGGATCTTTGTAATTAAGCAAGTTGAGTAATCATAATTGGTACCAAAATATAGCATTTTTCGACTAGATCACTTTTCTATTTCACAGCATAAGTTGAAATCCAAAGGAAATGGCTTAAAAATAGAAAATAAATATTTTCCCTTACCTTGGTATAGCTCAC